ATTTTAAACAAAAAATGATTGCTATTATATTTATTAAAGTTTGAGCAAATCACTATATCTAATTCATGGTAACTAGAGGTAATTCCGATTATTTTATCCTTGATATATATTTTTAAAGACATCATTCAGACTAACTTTACAATTTTATAACTCGATCTCTTATAATTTTCGAGGTATTTGCAAAAAAAATTGCTACCATTACATAAAATTTCGTCTATATATACGTATATATCTGCGATTACGTGTGTGTAAGCATGCCATTTATTTTCAATAAATACATAGCCGACATTCAAAGCGTATAACAAGTGCACTAGTCAAAAACCTATTTTCTAATGGATTTTGTTGGACTTGAAATATTTCAACCTCGATCTATAGTTAGAGTTTGATTATATTTGCGAAAATAAAATACAAAAATATCTTTGAATGAAATTACTGACCGAAACTACGAAGTAGTAGTACAATAATAGAGTTATATTATTAGTTCTCATACCCAATATATTTATCGTTGTTTCTCTCATGTTATATTTTCTTTTGTCGTGAAATTAATAAGCAAAATTCTATGTAGTATTAGCAATAATTTTTGTTAATTCAAAAACTATATGAATTTAATACTATATTGCAGTTCTTAGAGGCACAAGCGATTAATAGAACATTCTTTAACTCGTTGTTCCAATAATTACGTGTCTACTACTTTTTCTGCTTCTTTTCCAATCGTCAGACTTTGCTCGATAATTCTGTCAATGACAAGAAATAGAGATATCTTCCAAGTTAGATTAATTGCTAATTAAATTTATATTAGATCTATTTTAAGTTACATGTGCAATATATTTGAGGGTTGTTTTATCTTAATCTTACATGTAAGGAATCCCTCGTTACACGTGAGTAAATTTAGATCAACATTGGTTTATATTTAAACTTTATATACAGGAGGTTTCATATTTTAATCTCTCCGGATATCTTGAAAGAAATATGGAAAAATGTTTTGAATAAAATTTATAGAGTTGTATTATTATTATTTATTTGACTTTGAGAAAGTTTACAAAGAATAACTTTGCAATTTTTAAATTAAAACTTATATTTTTCATTATTATTTCTGACATCGAAATATTATCTAAATCTTCATTTTTACACGAATAATTATTTCGAATTAATATTTAAATGCTTAAATTTGAATATATATTCAGAATTTTTAGATTTTACTTATTAGAGAATAATAAAAATTTTGTGCTTCCTAAATGAAGTTTAACCCCATAGAACAACTCGCACATAGAAGCACCAACAGAACCGTGTTACTCAAAATTCATGATTGTAATAGCTGTTTCGAGGTGTGGTGAAAATGTTTGAGAGAAGGGATTTTGAGTTTTGGAAGTTTGGTTTAGAGAAGTTTACGGTTGGATTAGTCGCATGAGTGCGTGTTGACACGTTTTCTGTTGTATGATTTGTATATATGGTGTTCGTGTTTATGATATCCTTCTGAATTTTTCTAGAACGAATCTATTATTCAAGAGAGGCATGATTGAAATAGTAAAAAAAAAAAAAGTAACGAAAATTTATTTTTTTCGAAAATTTATCGTATTTATTTAAAAAAGTTTCTTTTTTTCAAGATTTTTTACGCAACAAAAGTCTCGAATCCTCGATTACTTTTCTTAATAAATATCGGGTGTCAGATAGATTTCAAATCGATGAGAAAGTATCACTCTTAAATAGCAAAACCGATTTCTTCAATTAGCTCTTGTTTGCAAGAATAAAAGAATATTAATGAATATATTTTACTTAAAAACAAAACTAACTTTCTATAGCATTACAATCGAGGTTAATAATTAATTTACATTATATTTATCGCGAATAATAAAACAAGTTGAAAACAATTTTGCTTTGTAGAGTATCTTTTTAAATTGTCTAAAAAAAAAAAAAAAAGAAAGAAAAAGTCATAACAAGAAATAAAGACTACTTTGTTAATAAACACCGATGTGTTTCTCGTATTTTGCATCTCCTGGTACGTTCAGCTCATCAACTTCCTTCAAGAACCTTTCCGGTTGTTTCCCTCGGCGCCGGAACTAGTTTCCTCCCTTTTATTATTT